AATTTGTTTTTCAAAGCAAAATTCATAGATTTAACAAAAAAACCTCATTAAATTGCAGACAAACCCCCCCCCAAAAAAATAAAGAGTGCTGAAGTCTCAGAGCTCCAAAAAGTAACTTTTCATTTATTATATTAAATAATAACATTTCTCTTATTATATTAACAAATAAACACATGAGATGGGTTAAAATTAAAATACCTTACAATTTGTTATAACATTTGGAAGATAAATATAACCACAGTCATGTACATATTCATTTGGAGATTATTAGTCAGATTTAGGTCAACATTGCAGCTTCCACTTTGTGTTTTCCACGTTTTTTCAGGTCAGCCTGAAGGATGGGATATTAAAAAAGACACCAGGAGAGCACTCTGGAATTGCAAAAGCAGAAGGAACCAAAGGAATTGGGAATTTTTGAAACTCAAAAGTGAAGGCAGAAGTTGGAAAAAAATGAAAATCCCATTTTATAACAAATTAGCCTTTATTTATAAAACTTTCAAGTAAAAAGAGCAGCGCATCAACCCAGCAAACAGGTGTGTCAATGAGTTATAGTGAAGGTATTTACTCTAAAAATAAAATCTTCTATGATCCCATCATACTCTGAGCAGAATTCCTTTCCAGGAGGAGATTTTGTCGTGAAGTCGACACAGATGCAACGGTTGACACAAACACACACCAAAAACTTGGCTAAAAAACCAAAAATTTGCACTAAAAGAACTGAATTAAATCATGAACAGCACAGATCAGTTCACTTGGACAGAGTTCCAGCTCTAAATGAGGATTAAACATGAAATTTTTAAACAGAAATGAAAATTCCTGAGAGGGAGGAATAAAACAGAAGAGAGGAGAAATCAAATTTTTACACGAGGGAAAGCAACAATTCTACCTGGATCAAAACTCCTCGGGCCACAGCTCTACAGAATAAATATTCTTCTCAATGGAGAAACACTAAAGAAGAAATAGTAACCCCAAAAGGATTATAAGAAGAATCCAAAAAAAAGTGCATTATCTTTGAGTGTAAGATGACAAAATAATTTCTACGATATTGCCAACAGATTTCACAGATGGGAATTAAAAATGAAAAAAAAAAAAAACTTCCACGGACAAAACTTGGAATTTCTTACATTTGAGAGCACAGGACATGGATCAAGATATAGAAGGGATTGATGACCCTCACAGGGCAGAGGTTGMAGAAGGAAAAACTTGGAAATATAAAAATATTAAATATGGCATCACTGTGGAAATAAGAATTTAGGAAAATCTGAGTTTTAGGAGAATCTTTTAGGAGAATCTGAGTTTAGGAGAATCTTTTAGGGGAATCTGAGTTTGTGAGAATCTTTTAGGAGAATCTTTTAGGAGAATCTGAGTTTTATAAGATTCTTTTAGGAGAATCTGAGTTTTATGAGAATCTTTTAGGGGAATCTGAGTTTTTTATGAGGATCTTTTATGAAAATCTGAGTTTTATGAGAATCTTTTAGGAGAATCTGAGTTTAGGAGAATCTGAGTTTTATGAGAATCCTTTTAGGACAATCTGAGTGTTTTATGAGAATCTTTTAGGAAAATCTGAGGTTTTTATGAGAATCTTTTAGGAAAATCTGAGTTTAAGGAGAATTTTTTAGGAGAATCTGAGTTTTAGGAGAATCTTTTAGGAGAATCTGAGTTTGTGAGAATCCTTTAGGAAAATCTGAGTTTTCTGAGAATCCTTTAGGAAAATCTGAGTTTTCTGAGAATCCTTTAGGAGAATCTGAGTTTTATAAGAATCTTTTAGGAGAATCTTTTAGGAGAATCTGAGTTTTGCAGGAGGGCTGGGAGGTTTCACAGGAAACGATTCGAAGGAAACTGAGGCAAAGGTGCACACCCAACTCTGGGAAGGGTCACTCCATCCCTGTGGCCCACGTGCAGGACACCTCATTTAACAATTATTATTTCTCAATAATTSTCTGTCTGTCCTGTTTTGCTGCCTCTTTGCAAGCCAGGGATTTCCAGGAGTCATTCCAGCAGCGAGGATATTCCCTAAAAAAAACCATCAAACCCTGCTGAACTCTCAGGGATTGCTCAAGAACCAAAGAATTTATCAAAGCAGAATCACCCCCAATTTTTCCTCTAAGCCAAAAAAACGAAGAGTTTTTCCTCCTGAAGGAAAAAAACTCAGGTGGAAATGGATGAAAACCAGAATTGGAATCCACATGACTATGAATTATAATTATGAACAACCAATCTGACTGGAATGAAGCAAGAAAAACACGTTTTCCACCTTTGCCTGGGACTGTTTGGGGTGTGGGGAAGGGAACAGCTCCTTGAAAATGTTTTTTTTTTTTGAAAGGAAAAAAATAAAAAAGGAAAGAAGGAAGTGAAACTGAGGGAGAACATTGGAGAAAAGTCATTGCCTCAGCCCAGAGAAGAACGATGAGGTGAGATCAGCATTCCAAATAAATCCTTTAAAATGTCCAAAGAATTTGAATTTGTGAAATGACATCCAGTGCAGATGATTCCTACGTTCTGCCAGGGTTCTTTGACCCCTAATAAACAGAGTTTTTCACGTCAACGAAAGAAATCTCAACACAAATTAATCAGAAATAATTTCTCCTCTTTCCTATAACCAGGATTTCAAAATTTTTCCAAGCCGTGAGCTAATCTGCATTTATTTCCTGCAAAAAAAATCCCAGTCCTGCATCCACCTCTGGCTACAGAACCCACAGATCCACACCAGCTTTAATATATAGAATATATCTGCATATTCTACACTATTCACAATTTTTATGTACAGCACGAGGAACTGATCCTGGACACAGCATGGAAATGATATGAAAAACCATGATTACATTATACAGTACATTATATATATTTATATATTTATATATACACACATGGACACGAATCTCACTGTACACTCTATATGCACTGGGGGTATTCACATTTTCCATATTTTGCATTATTATATTTTTTAATTTTCTCTGCCCAAATAGCAGCAGGTCTGCTTGTGCTTTGAATTTGGCTGTTCTGGAGGAAGAAAATTCAGGTTTTTACAAAGAGTTTTGCCTCAGAGAGAAAGGGCAGGTGTTGTACAAACACTCAATTACTGCACAGGGAAAGAATGTGGGGAATCTTCCTTTTTTTTATGGAAAACCACAGGAAATACAAAGTGAGGAATCACATCTAAGTGTTCTAACCTTTTGAATCAAGAGTGTTTCAGTAAAATTGAGGTTCCTAAATCTAATTCTGCATAGAAAACGTGTTGTGTTCTGTCCTTCAAGCAAATACGAGGAAGATTTAATAAAGAAATATAAAAATGAGCCCAACATGATAAAAGAATGCTGGATTAATTCACCCTTCTGCCTCCCTGCTGGACATCTGGAAAACACCATCTCAGTGGCTTGGAAGAATTATAAATTCAGTATTTTAGTGCTCTGACAAAGCAGCAGAAAGTCTTGTTAAGGTGCAGAGCTTAAAAAATGAATCAAGGTGTTCAGTCAAAGTCCCTGTCCCACTGGGGTGACATCACCCAGGACAGAACTGGCATTCCTTTCTAAATTTTATTGGAAAAATTGCTTTGGAAAATTGCTCTTTCACGGCAAAAGTTTTATATTGTGGTATCTACACAGATCCAAGTCAGCTCTCACAGACTTCAAATCCTCTACACCAACAGATTTTTTTTTTTTACATTTTAGGATGTTTGATCACGTCATCAAACACATTTTAGAGAAAAACAACCACAAAGGGGAAGGGATTTCAAATCAGGCTCTGCCAAATCACAAATAGCTTCCATTGCATCCCAGAGGGCTCATTAAAGGACAGGATTAATGATCATTACACCGTTGGTTTTGGTATTAAAAATAAATCTTCTCCCCTCCTGAGGAGAAAAGGTTCGCATTAATTGTGGTACCATTAGCAAAAGGGGAGCTGTGATTCCTAAAAAAACCATCCCAAAAGTGGATCACAAAATCCTGAGATTCCAAATGTCACAATTTGGCTGCATTTCAGAGCTGAAAACCATCGAGATGCCCCAAAAGGATCTGATCTGGTGAGGGAAAAACACTCGGGATAAGGCAAACCCCAACAGAACTGGGAAAGATTTGTTTTCATTCACTCAACAGGCACTAACATTGGAGGGTGAAAAGGAAATAAAAAATAGAAATGGGTGAAAGGTGATGAAGGAACATCACATTAAAAAGAAATAAAAGAAAAAAATTAGAGAAAATGTTGTAAGGTCAGGGCTGCATGGATAAAACCCAGAATGTAAAGCTTTGTATTCCCAGAGAACAAAGGGCAGGAAAAAAGACTGAGGACGTTTAAAAATGTTCTGCTGGATCCCTACTCTAGGAGAGAAAACTCCAAGGCAAACACAACTGAAATTCTGGAATTCCTGTAATCAGAAAAGGCATTTCTAGGAAGCAAATTAAATTCACAGAGTTATTTTTTTTTTTTCCTATGACAAGTCAAACACCCTCTCTGCTGTCCTTCACAGGTGAAAAATTCAGTGCACACAAAACCTGCTCCTCCCTGGTCTGAATGCTGCAAAATTGCATTTCAGAGCCAGCCCAGACCACCAGTGCTGCCAGAACTGATGGGTGAATGTGAATTTGGCAACTAAAAATGGATTCAATTTGGCTTTAGCTCAGCTAAATCTGCTAAATTGTAACCCCAAAGAGGGGGAATTGAAGGAGGGACGGTCCCAGAGGGTGACACAGCCCGGGCTGGGTGCTGGGAGTTGGAGGAAATGAAGCTACAATGAGTTGGAGGGGTGAAAACTCCTCAAATTTTTTGTCAACTTTTCCATTTCTTGATTTCTGGATGAAAGCAGCACCCAAAGGTGCATCAGCAGCACCCTGAAAATCCTGTCAGCTTCCAGCAAAGCACAATTTTCACTTCATCCCTCCACTGCTGGATTATTTATCCCATTTACCACAGCTGAATTAACTTTTAGTCACAATTATTAAAACTCAACGCAAACAAATGTTTCCATTAGAAGAATTTCTAATTTCTGCTAATTTCTAGAGCTTTTAAATTTGTTCTGTTTTACAAAATTCGCTGTTTTGTATCCATCTACATTTCCAGATTCTTCTGTAAAAAGCCACATCTTCTGGATAAAACCCAATAATCAAYTTATGCCTTGMCATAATGATGCAGAAGACATCYTGGATAAAATCCAATAATCAATTTATGCCTTGCCATAATGATGCAGAAGACATCCTGATTAGCCAACCACGAATTTTTAAATAAATGCAACAAGTGAAAGCTAATTCTATGAATATTCTCATTTTTTTCATGGCAATTTTGTGGGAAATTCATCCCGCAGCCTCCAAGACCCCGTGGAATTCAGCCCATCAAAATCACCAGCTGCAGCTCACTCTGGGTTGCAGAGAAAGAAACTTTTCAGCATTTTAGGGGGTTACACGTTAAAATTTCTTACAAGCAATAAATTGGATCTAGAACAATTATAATACAGATTATACAGCGCTTCCTGCGGGGTTTTTTTCGCGCTCGCATCTCAAGGTGACTAAAAGAACTTTTCACAAGATCAACCAAGGGTTTAGTAATTTTATAAAAGCCTTGCTGCGAGGTTTTTTTCCTTTCTCCAGAGCCCCAAATTTTAGGAGTTTGGCATGTCAGCCTTACTGAGTGCAATGGCCAACTCGAGGTCTTCCTGTTCTTGTCGCCGTAACCGAGCCAATCTTTCTTGCTCTGCTTTTTCACTCTCCCTCTTCGCCCAGGCCAGCTGCTGCTCCTCATTTCCAAACTAAAAAAATGGAAAAATGGGAAATTAATTAATGAATTTGCCCCACCAGCTTGAAGAAATTATGAGAAAAATACAAAGAATTTGGTTTATGAAATGTACAGCTCAAGCGCACCGGCCTGTCTGATTGAGATACAAAATTCACTCACTGGTTTCCTCACTTGATCTTTTTTTTTTTCTTTAATTTTCTTCCTCCTTCACTTCCTCCCTTGATTTATCTCCTTAATTCCTCCTTCCTTTATTTCCTGCCTCAATTTATTTCCTGGGTTTCTTCCTCCTCCCACCTGGAAACTAATCCACGTGGGTTCAGTTGGGGATGGAAACGGCCAAACAAAAACTCCACAAACACAAAAAAAAAAGGAAGTTAATGGTCTGGGAGCACAGCAACTGCAGCCATTCTAAGAATAGGAAAGAGCTGGGAAAGCCAGGAGTTATTTATTTTCGGGGAATTTATTGAAAATTTCCTGCAAAGGGTGAGAAATTTGATTTTGGAAAGTTTTGGACGCTGCTGACATGGTGGGAAGTTTCATCATCGAATCAAAAATCACCCAAAGAGCTTCTGTTGTTGATAAAACACAAACCGAGTTTCTCCAGTCAGAAAAAAATGTGACAGAATCCAAACTTTCTTCAGCAGAGAACATTTAGAAAATATAATTTTGTAATATTCAGCTCCTGAACCTGTCTGGGCTTCCCAAAACACAAGGGGAGCGCAGCAAAACTTGTCCAAAATTAAATTTTAGTTTTTACCACTGAAGGATGCAGAAATTTGCTCGTTTGAACTTTTTGCACAAATATTTTATTGAAATTGTAGTAATTTTGAACTCAAATAGAATCTGTTCCCAGATAATTTTAGCATTTGCTGAGGAGGAGGAGGAGGATGGGAACAGCTGCGTGTATAAAAGACCTAGTTTGTGTTTTATTTATTTATTTTTTTATATTTTGTACAGGGAAAACATATTATTTGAGGGTTTTTTTGAAGAGAAAAATTTCAGCTGCAAAAATTCCCCGTGACCCAGGACAAGGTGACCCTGAGCACAGCACGGCACGAGCTGAGGCAGCTACACCTGCCCAGACCCACCTATTTTAAAATATTTTAAAAAATATTTAAAATTGAGGGTTAAAATTTCGAATTTCAGTGCTAGACCCTGCCTGGCTGCATCTACATTATGTGACAGCCCCACCCCAGCCTCCTCCTCCTCCACTCTGCACTGTAAATTTTATTTTTTTACGTCTTTTTCAATAAATTCACCTCTTTGAATTTCTCTCAACCCAATTCTCATTTACCCAGAATTTAATTTTGCCTCTGGATGCACATCAGTCCTCATTTCATTTCTCTCAGCATGACTTTTGAGATGATTTGATGCAGAAAAAAATCATTTTTCTTCACACAATATCTCTGCTTTCATTGCTATAAAAATTCAGATTAAAATTTTTGCTTTTGATGTGAAAATACAACAGAAGTGTCACATTTTTTGGAAATTTTCCTTTTAAAATTAAGAGACTCCACTACAATTCCTCATTTAAATATCGAAAAGTAAGATTAAAAAGCTCACTAAGACTTTAAATATTTTTTTTTTTTCTGAAGGTAAAGACAGATTCAAATGGAAGCAGGAATTCTCCACTTAGTCCAGGAATTCAGGTAGATCCTATAGCTGGGATGGAGAATGAACAGTTAGTATTTTCAGAAATAAAAGAAACTTTTTTTTTAGTCAAACTATCCGGGACGGGGATTTTTTTAAAATGTTGATAAATCAGTTTTATTTCTATAAAGCTTCCATTATAGGGTAAACCTTCCAGAGTTTATGGGAGTCCCAATTATAACTTGTTTACGGGATACAAGTTATATTTTTGTGGTTAAAAAAGGAAAAAAAA